ATCTGCACTTTATACTGAGCTTAAAAGGAGAACTATGGGGTCAGTGTTTTTCCCCATAGTTCTCCTTAGGGTAACGGGAGGACACAAACTAGCGTCCTCCCGTTACCCTAAGCTCAGTATACCCGGAGCGGATCCCGATCTGGACGTCGGGATCCGCCCAGCTGAGTGAGTGACAGCTGGCTCTGCCTATCTAGAAGCAGAGCCAGCTGTACCCGCCCCCTCCCCCGTCCGTTCCGCCAGTCAGCGCTGGCGGATCGGAGCGGGGAGAGGGGAATCCAGCCCCTCCCCTGTCACGGCAGAGAGCTGTGACAGGATCGAGAGGGGAGCGAACTCCAGTATGTGTTCGCTCACCTCCCGATCTACTGAGCCGACCTGTGATAGTCTCATTGTCACAGGTCGGCTAGAACTATGAGGTGAGTGGAAATCACTCATCTCATAGTTCTCCTTTAAAGGTAAAGCCGGTAACTGTGAAAGCTGCAGATGCAGCAACCATTAAAATCGGCAGGGTCGGAGATATCGGTAGTGAAGAAAGGCAAACTTGTTCTAGGAAACATGGACTTTATTCCCCCCCCCGCCCAATAACAGATCAATAGCAAGGCTGGGGAGGAACCAAACAGTTAAGCTGCCTCTCTCCCTGGATCTGCTGGTCATCTCACATGCAGCTTTCACTCCCAGCAATCTCAGCTCATGTATTTTCTGCCCAATTGACTTCAAAAGCCGAATTCTACAACAATAACCAATCATCAGACACTCAGCAGGTCTTCTGTGGTCTAGAAGAAATACATTTTGTTACCCAAGAACATAAAGCTCCAGCAGCCATTGGAGGGGAAAGTGTCATCTTTAATAAAAAGAATCATCACACGCACGGAATCCGGACTATGTACAACGCGGCGGTGTGGGGAGCAGCAATGATGGGTGCATGGAATGTGTCTGATGGATGCCGGCGGATTTTACTGCAGTGATCAGGAAGGTGAGGGGGACGGGGGAATCAGATCACAAGAGAAGGATATCACGGGGCTTCATCTGACTGGTCACAGCGCTCATGGTTCCCGAGAACCATAATGAATCTCAGGGATGATGGTCCTCCATCTGTAGTGAGAGACAAAGAATGAATTTCAAAATGTCATTAGCACGTCGATATGAAATATCGGTCACACAGGGAGTGCATGGTTTTTAATGACTGAGTCATTATGGAGCATGGCAAAGGCGGACATCCTCGGCTTTCTTTTGCTCCCTCAGACTCATTCACCGGAGAACGCAGAGAATCCCCGTGTAAGCTCCAAGTCCCAATCCGTAAATTCACTCATTGCCCCATCACAGTGCTGGACGCCTGGGCAGCCAATCACCATCACCGTCATGTGGGAGAAGAATACGTCACAATATTAACCCAGCAGCAGGGGAATAAAGAAGAGCAGAGTAGGTAAAGTCTGGGAAGGTGGGCGGGAAAACATGTAACATTTCTAGGATTTTTGTACTCGCCATACAATCCTTTTCTCTATTCTCCATGGAGTGACAAAGCTCTGACTATATCAAGCAAAATAGGGTCATAGAGCTGCCTACGGGAGGCCGTATAACCCAACAGTCCCTCAGCGGACAGGAAAGAAATGGGATTTTTGTACTCGCCATAAAATTCTTTTCTTAGGAGTCCATTGAGGGGCACAGGAATTCATAGAATGTTGGGTTATACTGCCTCCTGTAGGCAGCAGTATGATCCTACGGTGCTTACTCTTGTCAAAGTTGTGAAAAGGTCCTTTTCAGCTTAGATTGGCACCTGTGGGGCTGATGGCGGTCACAGCTCATCATGTTCCTCTTGTTGGGGGATCTCAGGGGGCTGCTGACAGACGGCCGGAGTGTAAAATTCCATGAGGTATTCACAGCGACTTGGCTCAGACGTGGAGGTGACAACTGTTTCTTTACCACAGTATAATTTCACCTGCAGGAGGAAGAAAAAGAAAGATCTTACATGTCTCAGCTTCATAAAACATCTCTATGACAGGGGGGCTATGGTGTCACGTCATGGGAGGGACACGTTATCACATGTTCCTGAGGATACTGACTACAATGCTGCCACATGGCAATACTTGTGTGGACTACGATACGGCAAGATGGCTGTACTTTTTGGGTGACTGCAATGCTGCCGAATAACTATGAATACAGTGACACAATGCTGCTATGTGACTGTGCAGCGCAATGGTGGAAAGCATTGTGTATGTGCCCCTCTGTGCGTCTCATGATCCCTAGAACGCTGCACATTAGTCACAGCAAGCAGTAATAAACTATATGCAATTGTCCAGAAATCCAACACGCTGGCCCCATCAATCATCCCTAATGACACTCACCAGTGTGGAGCGGTTGGGACCTTGCCAACAGCCTGTGCCCTGGTCGTACTTCATGGCACTAAACTTGTCATTTTCTGGTCCGGCCCAGGCGCTCCAGACGCTGTGAATGAGAGGTCAGACAACGAGTTAGAGTCTCGTCTTATCTAGAGGGAGCCGAGAGGTTATTTGCCGCCTTTATATAGTAGTAAGCGCCAACATTTCAGCTTATAGAGCCACAGAGATAAAGGAATGAGGATTTATGAAGATGGATTCTAATAACTTACATGGTTTCGGATTAAACATGAATAGAAAGCTACCAGAGACAACCAAATAGCTGGGAGGAGCTCACCCCAAATTAGTCTCCGACCCTCCAACCTTCGGCTTCTGTGTGACACGATTAAACGGGCAGAGGCGATACGTATACCTAAGAAGAAGCACAACATGAACATGGAATACACACAAAGCTGCACAGCGATATCCATACATCTCATCTTTATAATCTAACACACATACATGACACTTACATGATAATCCTGAACATGAGCTACGACCTCATGAACCAGTATATATGCATATATTAGCGGCACCAGAAACTCCATAGGCACCCAAAATCTACTCACTCGCTGGTTGTAAGATCATAACATTGTCCATACAGGTAGGAAAATTCTCCCTGTGATCCAAAGTCCAGCGAAATCTCCTTCTCCAGATTCCTGCATACAAATAACAGATCAAATGGATTACCAGTGTGCCCTCCTCCAGTTATTCAAACACAATAGAATGTTCCTAATCAGCCTTCCAGGAGATCGAGGACTATACTAAAATGTTACAGGGGTAACAAGACACTCAGGAGCCGGGTTACTGTAATATGATGTTACAGGGGTAATAAGACACTCAGGAGCCGGGTTACTGTAATATGATGTTACAGGGGTAATAAGACCCTCAGGAGCCAGGTTACTGTAATAAGATGTTACAGGGGTAATAAGACACTCAGGAGCCGGGTTACTGTAATAAGATGTTACAGGGGTAATAAGACACTCAGGAGCCGGGTTACTGTAATAGGATGTTACAGGGGTAATAAGACACTCAGGAGCCGGGTTACTGTAATATGATGTTGCAGGGGTAATAAGACACTCAGGAGCCGGGTTACTGTAATAAGATGTTACAGGGGTAATAAGACCCTCAGGAGCCGGGTTACTGTAATATGATGTTACAGGGGTGATAAGACACTCAGGAGCCGGGTTACTGTAATAGGATGTTACAGGGGTAATAAGACACTCGGGAGCCGGGTTACTGTAATATGATGTTACAGGGGTAATAAGACACTCAGGAGCCGGGTTACTGTAATATGATGTTACAGGGGTAATAAGACACTCAGGGGCAGGGTCACAGGGGTAATAAGACACTCAGGGGCAGGATCACGGGGGTAATAAGACACTCAGGGGCAGGGTCACGGGGGTAATAAGACACTCAGGGGCCGGGCATTAGCGATCATAGAAGAGAGAAAAGTTAGAATTCACCTGATTGTATCTTCAATTTCCCGTAAAGATTTGGAAGCTTCCTCGAACTCATTGCGGACTATCTGGGCGGCTGTGAGAAACAGAACATGGAGAATTATTAGGAATTGGAGACGTGGGGACAGAGATCATACGCAAGAAATAATCAAATCAATGCTCACCATCTATAAGTTGCTGGGTTGCGTCATCGTATGGCGGCATCTCAGACTCCTCCCCCTGAGATTTACTGGGCGGAGCCTGCAATGAAGACAGAATTATTTCTACACCAGCATATCAATATTTCCATACTCCTAGCTGTGGCTCTAAGTCCTGACACTCAGATGCCAGACAGGAAAATAAGACCCGTTGGCAGAAAAGGAACCATCGTGGTTAGTTATATTGTCCAATACATTACAGCGAGCCGCAAATGTCTCCTCCACATGGAGGGTCTCGGGACCGAGTGTCTGTGGTGCCAATAACATGCAATCAAGCTTTATTTCACGTCTGTATCCATCCAACAAATGCAAAGCTGTAACAGGATAGTGGAGGTCAGAGTATGAAAATGGGGTCTGTTAGTACAATGTCTGTGACCTAAGTGGGGATATAGGTGACCGCACTGTGAACAAGCCGTTACCATCAGATGTGGTCACAAGGTTAAACTATATAAAAATATCGGGCTGGAGAGAGGAAAGAAAAACAAAAAGTTATGACTGCAATCACTCCAGCCACGCAAGTTCAATCCATCCGGGTCAGAAGATTAAACCTACCCTATGCTCTTCATCCAAATGCTCCTCTTCGTCATCATCGTCATCTCCTCCCTCCTCGCCATCACCATCCCCGTCCTCCTCAGGTTGGATTTCTGGATGAGAGTCGGCTCCTTCTTCAATAGGAGGTGGTGAAGGGGTTTCACTCTGTAACAAAGATGTCTAAAAGGTCAGAGGTGAGCGCCTTCAATGAGGAAACACGAGCCGCAGACAAGTAACTGATGAACAATGATCTTTCATTTTTCTGGGTAACGTCTTCATTCGCGCCCTCTTCAGGAGGCATGAGAGTCTGGGCACCTACCCATCATCCTCGTCCTTCTCAGGAGACATTTGTGGATGAGAGTCTGGGCAGCTACCCATCATCCTCGTCCTTTTCAGGAGGCATTTGTGGGCGAGAGTCTGGGCAGCTACCCATCATCCTCATCCTTCTCAGGAGGCATGAGAGTCTGGGCACCTACTCATCATCCTCGTCCTTCTCAGGAGACATTTGTGGATGAGAGTCTGGGCAGCTACCCATCATCCTCGTCCTTTTCAGGAGGCATTTGTGGGCGAGAGTCTGGGCAGCTACCCATCATCCTCGTCCTTCTTAGGAGGCATGAGAGTCTGGGCACCTACCCATCATCGTCGTCCTTCTTAGGAGGCATGAGAGTCTGGGCACCTACCCATCATCCTCGTCCTTCTCAGGAGGCATGAGAGTCTGGGCACCTACCCATCATCCTCGTCCTTCTCAGGAGGCATGAGAGTCTGGGCACCTACCCATCATCCTCGTCCTTCTCAGGAGGCATGAGAGTCTGGGCACCTACCCATCATCCTCTTCCTTCTCAGGAGGCATGAGAGTCTGGGAACCTACTCATCATCCTCGTCCTTCTCAGGAGGCATTTGTGGAGGAGTCTGGGCAGCTACCCATCATCCTCGTCCTTCTCAGGAGGCATTTGTGGGTGAGAGTCTGGGCAGCTACCCATCATCCTCGTCCTTCCCAGGAGGCATTTCTGGATGAGGGAGTTTTCTCTTCTATAGGAGATGATGAAAGGGCTTTGTTCCAAGAACCCCCTGATGATGATGATGATGCCCCACCCCTGAAGTGTGAGAACATTGTTTTCTCAGGACATGAAGTCAGACACATGTGTAAAATTCTCCTGGACTGGAGGTCTGCTGCGCCCACCCAATGAACATTCAGGAAAAGAATGGCGAGAACTCATTTTGAGGTTTTCTGTCACTTAGAGAGATTTATAGTCAATGCTGATTCTGTGTGTTTAATATTTTGAGTTAACCCTTCAGAGGTTGGACATGTGACCTACAATGACAATGATATTTCCTTCTGAAGAGCCTTTAACGTCAGCCAATCAGCATCTCTGGTTGATGATACCATTCAGCTCGACTGTTCAGATTGAGACAATTGTATCTACAGGGACCAGCCAATTGTATCCCATCCCACTTCATCAACCCTCCAATGAAAAAAGTGCCTTCAGGGGCTTCGGACATAAAACTTCATATCCCATCACTCACCTTAGATTTGTATTTTTCCTTAATCTTGGGCCAGACAGACTCCTGGAAGGTGGAGACATCAACTGACTGCAAACCTGCTAGGAGATCCTGAGAACGAGACAAAATAAGTTAGAATTATCTGCCTATCCGACTCAATTCCGATTGGTTGATATAAGTTACTGCACATCATTGTGTTAATGTCAGGCAGAGAGAGTCAAACAATGGCACGCGGCAGTACACCGTGCGGGACCACAAATTGGAGGGGCACAGCGAAGGGGAATGTTGCTATGTACGTTGTCTTTATCTATATGTGAGCGGTGCTGAATACCGGGCTGGTCAGGCGACAAGACTTCTTCAATGGAGGAGAACTCCAACCCTATAAAAAGGGAACGCGATTGTGACCACGCTAAAGTATTTTAGTGAGGGCCACAGGTATAGGGTGAGCAGTTCTGCATTCACGGTGCTCTATTGGATATTGTGCTCCAGCCGGTGGCAGTTTCACTTCAGCGGTGACGCATTTCTTTTTTAAGACTGTTATGTGGCGAGGATAATTCGAAGTGTACGCGGTGGAAAGGATTGAATTGAGATTTTGCGTCATTTCTTAGCGTTTTGTAAATATATAGCATGGAGTGCTATAGCATGTTCAGTTCCTTTATGGTATTGATGGGTTTGTATTAGGGATGCACCGATACTAGTATCTGTGCCGATGCCGAGTATTTGGGCGAGTACTCATTCTCCCAAATGCTCCGATGCCTAGCCCCATACTTCCGGTATCAGGAAGCCGGACAGCGAGTCATTACACACCCCCCGGCTTTCCGATTGGCCAGAAAGCCGGCTTCATGATCCCTCATTACCTGATGAATAAAGGAGCCGACTTCCCAGCCAATCAGGAAGCCAGGCGTCGTGTAATGTGTTGGGCAGCTTCTCGACCAATCAAGAAGGCGGGCAACGCGTCATTACAGGGCGGCCAGCTTCCTGATTGGCCAGAAAGCCAGCTCTGTGATCCCCCAACTCCAAGTGACGAGGGAGAATGGAGACGGCTTCCCTGCTAATCGGGAAGCGAGTCATTACACGCCACCTGGCTTCCTTAATGGGACATCCGGTATCAGCGTGTAACACACACACAGCGTGTAACACACTTTGTATAAAACATTGACACGTATAGAAGCACATATGCCTATTAGCAGGCCTCAGGAGGATAAGAGGTGACATATGCGAGCCCTGAGAGACTCAGAAGCTGGCCTCCAGACCCCTATGGTGCCCATACACCTTGCGATCATCGGACTAAACTTTTCGTGCGATGATCGAACCGTTGTGCGATTTTCGTACGGAGGCCCCATCCTGCCCCGATTATCGCAAGGTTCAATCAGCGGTAGTCAAAAAAAAATACCTGGACGAATTTGCGGTAAACGACCGCGGGTATTTTCGTTTGCGCGTGTGCAGTGTTAATCGTACGACTTTTGACGTACGGAAACGCCACCAACCTTGCAAACAATTGTATGATCGACCAAAGTTTTCTAACATGCAGGAAAGACAAAAGTCGTACGATTGTACAGTACTGGCGGTTGCGCACTCCCCATACATCTTGCGATTGTCGTAGGAAAAGTCGATTGCGTATCGTAAGGTGTATGGGAAGAGAAGAAACATGGGGAGATAGAAACCAATGAGGCCATCTATACCTGGGCTTCCTGGTCTGACAGGGAACCGTCTCCATCTGAATCCAGCTCAGAGCGGGACAGCAGCTCCTCTGCAGACAGCCTAGTAATGGAGAGAGGAACATTAATCAATACTTCCACCAGCGCCAACAGAGCCCTTGGCCAGAAACATACACGTGTAGAAATGACCAGCACGGGGGGGGGGGGG